GGGCACCGCCCATCATTCTCTCTCTCTCTCTCTCTCTCTCTCTCTCTCTCTCTGACAGGGTCCCCATGTAGCCCAGGCTGGCCTTGAACTCCATACAAGACCCAAGGAAGATGACCTTGAATTCCTGACCCTTCTGCCTCTACCACCAAAATTCTAGGATTACAAGTGTACCCCCACAGCCAGCTGACATTTTTTAGTTAAAAATTTTATTTTTTAAATATTTATTATTTATTTTATATGTATGAGTTTATTGCCTACATGTACATAAGTGCACCCTATCATGCAATGCCCTCGGAGGTCAGAAGAGGGTTTCGGATTCCCCTGGAACTGAAGTTACTGCCATGTGGATGCTGGGAATCCAACCCGGGTCCTCTGCAAAAGCAGCCAGCATTCTTAACTGCTAAGCCATCTCTCCAGCCCATTTTATTTATTTTTTCTATTTTACTTTATTTTATTTTATTTCATTTTATTATTTTTGGTCTTTTTGAAACAGGGTCTCCCTGTAGCCCCAGCTGGCCTGGAACTCACTTTGTAGACCAGACTGGCCTTGAACTCACAGAGATCTGCCTGCCTTTGCCTCCTGAGTGCTGGGACTAAAGACGTGTGCTACCACACCTGGCAAATTTTTAATTTTTAAAAAAATTTTTGGTCTTTTTGAGACAGGGTCTCCCTGTAGCCCCAGCTGACATGAAACTCACTATGTAGACCAGGTTGGCCTCGAACTCACAGAGATCTGCCTGCCTCTGTCTCCCGAGTGCTGAGACTACAGGCCTGCACCACCATACCCGACGCAAATTTTTAATTTTTATTATACTAATTAATTAATTTATTTATGTGTAGGGGGTCAGGAATGGCTTGGATGTAGAGGTCAGAAGACAAGTTGTGGGAGTCGGTTCTCTCCTTCCAACATGTGGGTCCTCAGGAGGCAGAGGCAGATGGATCTCTGAGTTTGAGGCCAATCTGGTCTACATAACGAGTTCCAGGTTGGCCAGGGTTGCATAGTGATACCCTGTCTCCAAAAAAAAGACAGAAAGAAAGAATCAAGACTGTGTAAAGTAAGCCTGAAAATTAACATCTTTGGGAATGGAACATGATACTAGTTCAGAAACAACTGATATTAAGAGAGTTTGCAAGGAGCTGGAGAGATGGCTCAGCTGTTAAGAGCACTGACTGCTCTTGCAGAGGACCTGGGTTCGATTCCCAGAACCCACATGGCGGCTATGAACCATCCCTAACTCCAGTTCCAGGGGAATCTGAAACCCTCTTCTGACCTCCAGGGCATTTCATGACACGGGTGCACTCACATACATGCAGGCAATACACTCATACACATAAAATAAAAATAATAAATAAAAATTTTTTTAAAAACCTTGCAATAAAATTTGGGAACTGCTGAGCATGGTGGTACATGCCTTTAACCCAGATCTCAGGAGGCAGAGGCAGGCAGGCGGATGGGTCTCTGTGAACTTGAGGCCAACCTGAGTTTAATTGGGAGTCCTTGTCTCAAAAAAATTTGAGAGCTACAAAATAATTTTCCAAATTTCATAAAGCTCTTAATCATTCCTTGGTCCCTTTGCACACATAGATTTGCATGTTTATTATGTGTGTGTGCACATGTATATTCAAGTATAGCATATGTGCGTTTGAGTGCACATACACATGTATGTGTGCATGTGAAGGCCAGAGGTCAATATTGGGTATTATTCCTCAGAAGTTGTCCACCACTGTCCATCTTGTTTTGAGAAAGGGTCTCACTGGGACCTGGGGCTCACTGACTAGGCTAGTCTGACTGGCCAGGGAGCTCTAGGGATCCCCTCTGCCTCTGTCTTCACAACATTGGGATTACAAGAACACACCACCAGACCTGGCTTATTTATGTGGGTTCTGGAAACTGAACTCAGGTCCTCATGCTTTCACATAAGCACTTTACCAACAATTGTGTCTCCACCCCTTACAGACTTTTTTTCAGAAAGGGTCTCTCTATGGAGACCTGGGATTAAAGGATTAAAAGGGTTTTGATGTGTGAATGCCAAAAGAAACCATCTACAATTTGTTGTGAGATTTTTTTGTTTTGTTGTTTTAGACAGGGTCTCCCTGTGATGCCCAGGTTGGCCCAAGTGATTCTCCTACCTCAGCCTCCCAATTGCTGGGAACATAGGTTCATGCTGGTTCATGCCTTGAGCCCTGGAAACCTGGTAAAGATTCTGAAGGTTGGCTAGAATAAGTTGACAATAGAGTGATTAATAGGAGAAAACCACATACATACATATTAACTGTATAGGAGAGATGCATGGGTGTATGATTAACCATATAACCCAGTGAATTCCAGATGCTCTATGTGCCCTTCTTCATTGGGGCGGGGGGCGGGGGACGGACAGGAGCAGGAGAAAATGTGACAATTTAAAGAACAGTACATGATTTTAGGTGAATGAATGGAGCCAATACTCAAATAATAGGCCATTATTATTAATTAAGCAATAGTAAACTACCTCGTCTCTCTCTTTGGAGATTGAATGGGCATAGGAGAGACAAAGTCCACTCAAGTATGATTACACTCTTTTGTCTTATTTCTGAAGACTCATTTAATGAAAATTTGAGGAAGAAGCCAGGCGTGGTGATAAATACCTTTAATCCCAGCACTCAAGAGGCAGAAGCAGGTGGATCTCTGTGAGATTGAGGCTAGCCTGGTCTACATAATGAGTCACAGGTCAGCTGTGGCTATAGGGAGACCCTGAATAAAACTAAACAGAAAAGGGACCTAATTTCTTTCTTTTTATTTTATGTTTGAGTGTTTTGCCTACACATATGTGAGTGTGCCCATGTTGTGCAGTGTGAGGGAGGCTAGAAGAAGGCATTGGATCCCCTGGAACTGGAGTTATGGACAGATGATTGTTAGCTGCCATGTGGGTGCTGGGAAATGAACCCAGGTCCTCTGCAAGAGCAGGTAAGTACTCTTAACTGTTGAGCCATCTCTTCATCCCAAGGGACATAATTTCTATTCCTCTTCCTCCTCCTCCTCTTCTCCTCCTCCTCTTCCTTCTCCTCCTCCTCAGCCTTCTCCTCTTCCTCTTCCTCCTCTTCCTCTTCCTCCTCCTCCTCAGCTTTCCTTTCTTCATTTTTTTTCAGATATAATCTCATATACCCCAGGCTGACCTTCAACTTTGTACGTAGCCGAGGATGACCTTGAATTACTGATCCAACTCTACTTCCCCAGTGCTGGGGTGCATGTCACCACACCCAGTTTATGCAGTGCAGTGCAGGAAATCAAGCCCAGAGCCTCACCCATGCTAAGCATATACTTATGCCTCATTTCCAGCTTAAAAAACACATGTGAGCCGAGCATGGTGGTGCACGCCTTTAATCCCAGCACTCGGGAGGCAGAGGCAGGCGGATCTCTGGGAGTTCAAGGCCAGCCTGGTCTACATAGTGAGTTCCAGGACAGCTGGGGCTACAGGGAGACCCTGTCTCAAAAAAACCAAAAAACAAAAAAAACAAAAAACATGTGTACTACTCAGAATAAACATCCAGGAAAAAAAATGTATGAAGAATACAGAGACAGAAAAAGAGAGAAAGAGAGAGAGAGAGAGAGAGAGAAGAGAGAGAGAGAGAGAGAGAGAGAGAGAGAGAGAGAGAGATTGGGGAATAAGCAAGAAACCTATAGGGAAGCAGAGAAGGAACAACAGTGAAAGCAGAGACACATGGGATATAAAATCATGAATCTTTTTTTTTTTTTTTTAGCTTTTTGATACAGGGTCTCCCTGTAGCCCCAGCTGGCCTAGAACTCACTATGTAGAGCAGGCTGGCCTTGGACTCACAGAGATCTGCCTGTGAGTTCAGCCTCTGCCTCCCAAGTGCTGGGATTAAAGGTGTGTGCCACAATGCCTGGCATGAATCATGCCATAAGTCTTAGTTTTGATTCTGGTTGCTATGATAAAATACCCTGACAAAAGCAACTTAAGGAAAAAAAGATTTATTTCAGTTCAAGCACAGTCCATCATGTCTAAGAAGTCAAGGCAGCAGGAACTTGAGGGAGGTGGTCACATTGCATCAGTGATCAGGAACTGAGAGCAATGAATTGATGCATGAATGCTTGCTCAGATCTCTCTCTCTTTCTTTTTCACTGGGTCCAGGGCCCAGTCCATGAAATGATGCTGCCCATATTCAGGGTGGGTCCTCCCACCTCAATTAATCTAATCTTCCACAGACTTACCCATAGGCTGACTTGATCTAGACAATTTCTCATTGAGATTGTTTTCTCAGGTGATTCTAGATACTGTCAAGTTGACAATTAAACTAACCATCAGAAGTGTCCATAAAACAATGCCATCTGGGGCTGGAGAGATGGCTCAGTGGTTAAAAGCACTGGCTGCCCTTGTAGAGGGCCTTGATTCAGTTCCCAGCATTCACATGGCAGCTAACAACCATCTGTAACTCTAGTTCCAGGGAATCTGATGCCCTCTTCTGACCTCTGTGAGCATGGCACGACACAGGTGCACTTACATGCATGCAAGCCATACACTCATACACATAAAATAAAAAAATAAAAAATAAAAATGAATTCTATTGATGCAATCAAACTAAAGCCCCCAGGTTAAAGTGGAGTCCCCCAGACCAAAGCAAAGAAAAATATTCTGGAAGCTGTACAAGGAAGTAAGATGTAAAATAATTCTAACTGCTAAGAACAAGCTGAGCTGACCTTTTTCATGCTCCCTGCCCAAGCTGGAAATCATCCCAGAAATCCCCCCCTACCTCTGCTTGGCACATAGCTGCCGCTTTTCTGCTTGGCACATAGCCGCCGCTTGTGTTTTTGTCTTTAAAAAGAAGTTTGTAAGCTGATTTGGGGCTTCTCTTTCTGGAGGCCCGTCTGCAGACGTAATAAATCCTCATGCTTGTTGCATCTCCTCGTCTGAGGACTGAGTTATTGGGGAGCGGCCTCCTGTGGACGTTGGGTACCCCATCTGGGGTTCCAACACTATCTGTTCTTTCAGCATCACAATACATCATTTATAGCGCTTAGTTTATTTATCATTTATAGCACTTAGTTCAAAACTGTCAACAAGGTAGACTTTATCTTTACACTTGTGTCATTATTCTAGCAGATATATGCCCCTGGGAGCAGGGTATGAGGCTCATATTCAGACTTAAAGTGATAAGAAGATCTGAGAATTTAACACCAGCTCTGCTTTTCACCTCCAGAATCCCCTGGACTTCTTGGGCTGACTCAAGACTTCATATGCAGCCTGGATCTCCAGGAAGTGCCTCTGGGCCTCCTCTCTCTGGTGCCGGTTGTGATCAGGGTGCCAAACCTTCACTAGCTCTCGGTAACTCCTGTGTATTTCTTCGTTTGTTGCCGCTTCTGAAAGGCCCAAGACCTTGACAAAACAAAGCTGGCAGATTAGCATCTCACAAGTGGTCAGAGTATCTAGGTCTCTCCTGCTTCTTTGCTGAATCATGCTATTGGTGTCTCTTAGAATGGCCCAATACTAATACCTCAGATTAGAATTTTAGTCCTTTGGGCTAAAGTTCTGTTTCACTGGGAGAGCCCATCCCTGGCATGAGGAAGGATGGGTTCAATTCACAGCAGTGAGAGGAAAAAACAGCAATAAAAAAACCCTCAGGATCCTATGTAAGCCAGGATTTTCCTTTAATCACAACGGCATTTTCCACCTGGAACTTTACATCCTTGACAAGATCTGCCCCCAGCAAGAGAAACTAGTGTGTCTATGTCCACCAAAGACCTGTACAAGAATGCTTACAGGAAATTTATTCATAGAAGTCCTAAACTTGAAACAACCTATATATCAACAGTAGAGTGAATAAATAAGCTGTCATTAGCATACAGCAATGAACACAGGCTATTTTTAATTGCACGTTAATTATAAATAAGTTTCATAAACACGATGCTGAATGCCAGACAAACTAGGTGATCCCATTATTTGATGTTCAAGAGTAGGCAAAACTTGGGGTTGGAAAGGTGGCTCAGAGGTTAAGAAGACTGGCTGCTCTTACAGAGGACCAGTTTGGTTCCCAGCACCCGCAATGGCAGCTAACAACTATTGATAACTCCAGTTCCAGAGGGCCTGATGCCTCTCCTGGCTTGTGCACTCATCCCACACATGGTGCACTTACATACAGGCAAAACACTCATATACATAAAGTAAAAATAAATAAAAATTTTAAATAGGCAAAATTTGGGCAAAAGAAAGAATGGAAAAAAAAGAAAAAAAAAAACTAAGGAGGGGGAAAAAAGCAATCTAGCTGTCATGGTGGCGTGTGTCTGCTACTCCCAGGACTAGGAGGCAGGGGTCACAAGTTGGAGGCCAGCCTGCTTTACATACTGAGTTCCAAGCCAGTCAGGACTGTGGGGTAAGATACTGTCTCAAACAAACAAAACAAAACAAAGACTAATATATCATGATAGGACTTGGGATGTGGCTCAGTGGTATAGTGTTCACACAGCATAAACGTGGGGTCCAGGGTTTGATCTCCTACAGCACAAAACAAACAAATGAACCCTCGAATCCACAATGACAGAAGCCAGAAAGAACAACCTCTGAGGTAGAAGTGTAGGTTGGGAAAGGATCTGTAGGAAGCTTCTTAGTGGGAAAGATGTTCTACCTCTTGGCTTGAGTAGCATATAAATAAAATTAATGTGTGTGTGCATGTGTGTGTATAATACTTTAATAAAAAGTAAATATTCCTTTAATCCCAGCACTTGGGATGCAGAGGCAGGTGGATCGCTGTGAGTTCCAGGCCAGCTGAGGCCACAGAGAGACACTGTCTCAAAAAGACCAAAAAAAAGTAAATATTATACACACATATTTCTCACTACCCGCATCTCTGTATTTTCATGCATTACATAGAAGCCAAAAGAAGCCAGGGAACCCTTTTAGAACTTGGCCCGCAGACCTGAGAACAGTACTCCCACAAGCAGGGCACCAGCTCCAACAGGCTTTTCCTAATTCTTAGTGCCCAGACTGAAGAAAGCCCCAGAGCAGGAAGAAAGACTTACCTGGTAAGCCAGCTGGCGCTTCAAATCCTGAAAACTGTGAACAAACTCATAGAGCTTTTCCCACTCCTGGAACCAGCTGCTGTTGAAGGCAGGATCCCCAACCAGTAGCCACCAGACGCGGCAAGGCAGAAGGAAGACAGACTCCACGAGGCGGCCAAGAAGGGGGAAAAAGCTGAACCAACTCAAGAAGGAACCAAGGATTTCTGCCACACAGCCGATGGTGTCGGCAGTACGGCACAGTGCGCTGTATGTCAGTGGGCCAGTGAAGGCGAGGTAAGCCAAGCCCAGCCGGTAGAGCCGCACACTGAGTGTCTCAGACTCCACTGAGTCTTTGTAGCGGCGATGCTTCTGGGCTGTGATGCTGGCAGCCAAACTGATGGGCAGGATGGCTACCGGGCGGCCATGGAATATAGGGGAAATAAGGAATGCTGCTCCTAAAATGTGCTTGTAGTCTGAGGTCTGGTTGCCAACAGCAGCCACCAGCAAGACCCCTAAGCCAACTGCCAGTGGGAGGCCCACAATATAAAAGTTAGCCATGAAAGAAAGGCTAATCAGAGCCACAAGGCCAAAATAGATGCCCACTATTATCTGGGCAGAAAAGCGAATGATACTCAGAGGAGGTGTGCCCTCTGCTGACCTCTGTTTCTGAACCTGTACTCTGTTGGCTTGAGCTACAAAGCTTGGGAGTTTCCAGAACTCCCAGAGCCAGCCCAGCCCACCACCTCCCAGAGTAAGCATCCAGAGCAGGGCATGACTATCCCTTCCCAGGTACAGGTGGTGGAGTCCAGCAGGGCCCCCTACAGCCCAGAGGACATAAGTCATCAGGAGCCCTTTGGCCATCCTCTAGGGCAAGGGTCTCAGAACAAATTAAGAACAAATTCTGACATTGCTCAGAATGCAGAAATCTCAGGGTCCTCTGAAGAATCAGGGCCACCATAGTCCCAGGAGTTATCCTTAGACCCTAAGAGATGGAGGGAAAAAAAAGAATCATGATTCCAGGCCTCAACACAGTAACTGTTTCTTCCTAATAAAAGTCAAGTCCAGTTCTACCTCAGGGTTCCTGAAGTGATAGTTGTTCCATGGCTTCTGTTCTGGCACCTCAGTCCTATTCTTTACCACCACAGGCCTCCAAATTTAGGCGAGGAGAATGTTTTGTGGTTTTGTTTTCTTTTGATTTGTACTTATTTTTGAGACAGGGTCTTATGTAACTCAGGCTGTTCTCAAACTTGAGGTCCCTGAGCTTCTGATCCTCTTGCCTCCACCTCCCCAAGTGGAGGCATTACAGGCATGTGCCACCATGCCCAGGGAGGAGAATGTTTTAAATGCTTTCAGTTGAGAAACTGGGTACTAGGTGCAGGGACCAAAAAAGCCCACCTCCCCTCAGTACTGGATCTAATGGCTCATGGAGGGCTCAGGGAAAGGACTAAACAGGACGACCGTTTCCAAAGTTCCCACATATTCTGAAAGCAGTAGTTCATCTGCCACCCACCCTTTTAGTCCCATGTGGCTGCTCTAGGTCACGTCGCCCAAGGTTTTAACCTCACTCCAGCCTTCCCTCTCTCCAGGCCATGAACTTTTCCCACAAATCAAACTTGAAAGGGTCCTGAATTCCTTCTACTTAAACATTCTGGAAAACATTTTGATCCAGACCTTAGCACCTCACAATTCAACCACCCCCTTCCCAAAGTTGGGGAGCCTCTCCAAAGTTGCAAAACCCCCCAGAATATTAAATCCAATCCCAAAGGGTGCCTGCCATGTACTTCAGCAAGTTCACCCCCAGTCAGTCCCAGTGGAGCGGCAGTACCTGGCTGCTCCGGCTCCCAGGCTGCTTCAGACCATTTCGTTTGATCATAGAACCAAAATGGCTCCTTTCACTCAGCTCCCACTTCCACTCAAGTGGACTTTGTCTCTCGGTGCTGATTGTGTCGCGGAAGTCATCTCCGCCAGGTCCCTCCCCAAAGCCCTGGCCTGCCCCTTCGCAATCACCTTCCGGTCCTACGTTCCGCTCTCCCACCCTTCAGGACGAATTCCCTGGGAAGCTTTCAGCTTTCCCTGGGCTCCCCCAGTTTTAGGGAGCTTGGAACCTGGAACTCCAGGCAGTGCGCGCCTCCTGCAGCGCGGCGCCACAACCACCAGATGGCGCTGTTCCCGAAGAGTCACAGACTCACCTTGTCCTAGGACACACCAGCCTAGAGCAGTCCGGGTGGAAGGGTCACCTGGTGGGAACAAATAGGTGGCCCCATCGGTAGAGCTAAAAACCAGGCTCTTGGTTACCTCTTCTCCCCACCACAAGCGGGGAGTGATCCTTCTCTCACCTCCAGCTGAGCGCTTTTTCCACACCCCATAGCGCTTTAAGGTCTTTATGGTACGACTCCCAATTCCTTAAGGGAGAGAGGTCCACCCGTAGGCTGATGGAGGGCTCTTCCAGTCCCCCGAGTTTTCCTCACTGCCGTGCCTCCATGCCTTCCAGTTATGGGGCTCCATATCCAGACCTGAGCCTCACACTGCTTAGCCCAGGATCCACTGGGAACTCTGGGTCAGAGGGTGCTCTGACCCGCCAGCTTTAAGCAAAGGAGTGTGTGAGGGTTCACCACCAGAAGAGTAAGGCCACACCCTGGACGCGGGGAAGAAGGGAATCGGCCTTCTCCTTTCTGCGGTGGAGTGAAGCTGGTGTCAAAGATGACTTCATGTCAGTATTCCAGGCTCCAATCCCCGGTCAGCCCGTAGACCTCGACAAAGCCACATTCTCTAGTTAACTCCTTTATTTATTTATTTATTTATTTATTTATTTATTTATTTATTTA